GACCTGCTTCTGCTCCGTGTTGATGGCTGCATGGTCGGTTACCATGACCGAGAGAGCAAGTTGCCCCACTACAAACCATCAATTTACATCACCTCCATGATTGCTGCAGAATCCATCTTTGCCAACAAGTGCTGCGGCAGAGACCACCGTCATGAACCTCTTGAGGGAAACAACATCTATGGTTCTCGGACTACACAAGCTGCTGAATGGCCCGAGAAACTCAATCAGTTGGTCCTGGACACCATCATCCAACAAGCCGCCATCGAGACCGAGGCTCACTCAGGTGTCCACGAGGCTTTTCCCAGTGAAACTCGAGGTCATGACCGAGGTCAAGGAGGCAGCCCCAAAAGACAAAAACTGCGACGAGGTCGAGTCGCCACACTTGGCTCCAACTTTGGCACACCACCGGTCTACATCCGACCTGGCCAATTGGAAGATCCACTACCTCAAGAACCACAAGATGATGATGAGGCGCCACAAGACGACCATGAATTCAGGGCTGAACGCGCAGCCGCCTTGGACCCCATCCTCAACATTGGAGAAGGTGAACGTCGCCAACAGTGGCTTCAGATCGATCCGGAGATCAGAAAGATCCTTCGTGACCTTCATACCAACTTTGGCCACTGCACAAACACCACCCTCCAAAGGATTCTCCGCCGTCAAGGTGCAAAAGAAGAAGCAATTCGAGGAGCTGGACTTCTGGCCTGCGATGCCTGTGGTGATAGCATCAGAGCCAAGAGACCGAAGCCAGTCAGACTTCCAAACAGATATGAGTTCAACAGGCACATCCTGATGGACACCTTCTTTGCAAAGGACAGTGCCAACTCCACCTATGCCTTCCTGAACATTGTTTGTGATGCCACCGGCTTCCAGGTTGTTTGTTGTATGGGCCTACACTCCGGAGTCCCGTCTTCAAGTGTAGCACTTCGCCATTTTGCAACTTCCTGGACTTCATGGTGCGGGCTCCCTTACAGTATTCAAGTTGATAGAGGAAAGGAGTTCATGGCAAGGTTCGCCGACCACCTCAAGACCTTCGGCATCGAACAAGAAGTCATGCCTCTGGCAGCTCCATGGAAAGGTGGACGCTGCGAACGAGCTGGCGGTCTTTGGAAAGATCTTTGGATCAAGACATGCCTTGAGTGCCAGATCGTTGGATTAGATGATGTCATCCTGGCCACCGGCATTGTCACTCAGACCCGCAACAGCTTTCCACGGAGCAATGGATACTCACCCAACCAGTGGGTGCTTGGTGTTCCCGAACTCCGACTACCTGGCTCACTGCTCACGAATGAAGCCGGACAGCAACTAGAAGTTCTTGAGGCAGCTGAGAACCCACAATCACAGATGGCAAAGACACTGCAGATCCGTGAAGCTGCCCGTGTTGCTCAGGTCAGACTGGACACAGACTCTCGTATTCGCAGAGCCCTTCTTCGTCAGAGCACTCCAACAAGAGGACCATACCCGATCGGCTCCTACGTCTACTTCTACAAGAAGCAGCTTGGTCCCCAGCGAGTGACTGACAAACGACAGTACAACTGGTTTGGCCCAGCGAGAGTGATTGGTGTGGAACTTCGCAACCCACGTCGTTTAGAAGATCAAGATCCACCCACCGAAGGCGGTCAACCACACTCCTATTGGCTTCGCTATGGACCTTCCGTTGTCTTGGCCACAGGTGAGCAACTCCGATTCGCTTCTGAAGACGAGCTTTTGGCCGCTCACTGCATCCCTTCTTATGCAGTTCAACTTCGCTCACTTCGCGGTGCTCGCAACTATGTCGACGCCCGGCCACTCCAGCTTGAGAACCTCAACCTGCCAGGGGGTTCCGTCGTCGATTTTTGGCATGTTTCTGGCGATGGCCGCGTTGTTCGTGTGCATCAGCAACCACGACTTCTTCTATTTCATCCTGCAGACCAAGGCTGTCCTGTTGACTTGGACCAGCTCCAGAATGTGCGAGTCACTGAAGCCATCTACACGGCTGAAGCAAGAGATCACGCCCTGACTGACACCATTGAAGATGATTGGCGTGCCAGCGATCCACAAGAACAACGTCCACTCACCTTCCAATGGACAGGCGAGACCATCCTCTATCTCATCAATCAGCCAGATGGCGATGATGGCGACATGGTCTACACACCATCAGTGCCGCCCCAAGACCTACCAGGGGGTGAAGATCTTCCTCCAGTTCCGGAGGACAATGAACTTGATGCACCACAACCACCACAGCCACCAGCTCAGGAACCACAGCAAGAGATAAGGACGGGCGCTGCCCTTCCTCGGCAAACCAGTGTGGCCGAACCAGAGCCACAGCCACTTTCCAGGCTCAACACGCCGCCTGACCCACAAGCAGGACGAGCGTTTCCCTTTCAAGTGCCACCAACTCCGCCAGTTGGCTTCAGACCACCGCAGCCCACGGCAACATTGGACACCGCCAGACGGGACCCTGACCGCCTCGATGGTTATGGCCCCACCACGTCCAATAACCAGCCCCGGGTGTACCCCGGACCGTACCTGGCCGATCCATGGCCCGATGAGTGCAACGACCTTCAGGCCAACTCAGGTCTGAAAGAGCTCCATCGCCTTCAAGGCCAAGAAGACGGAGAAACCTCCACTGATGTTGAGGTCACTGAAGATCCACCAGCTGGACCCTTCGAAGAGGCAATGCTCACTGGAAAGGCTGCAGTTCGCTCAGAGATCAACCTCGCAGCTCTCTCACCAGAAGACCGCCTCAAGTTCGATGCCAGCGTGGAAAAAGAATGGCTAAGCTGGCAGAAGTTCAGCGCTGTGGAGATCCTCACGGATGAGCAGATCCAAGCACTGCCTGACGACTGTCAGGTGATCGGCACGCGGTGGGTTCACACCGACAAGAACTCCAAGCCTCGAGCACAGGCAATGGCCCTCGCTCGCAAGACGGGCAAGTCAGAAGCTCAGATCAAGGCCGAGTACCCGTTCGAAGTAAAGTCAAGAATGGTGGTACAAGGGTGCCAAGAGCAAGATCCAGGCATCCGCAGTGATTCACCTACAGCTTCGCTCCTTGCCTTCAACTTTGTTACGGCCATCACCGTTGTCATGGGATGGACCATTGAGGCCTATGATGCCAGCACTGCATACCTTCAGAGCCAAGGCATCTCAAGGCTGCTGATCCTGAGGCCACCAAGACCTCCACCTCCGGGCATCTCTCCACTTTCGCTGTTGAGAGCAAAAGGAAGCATCTACGGCACTCGCGACGCCGGGCGCTCTTGGTGGAGAAAGCTCTATCGTGTGCTCCTCAGCAAGCAATGGGTGATGAGCAAGCTGGAACCTGCACTCTTCTTCCTCTACGAGGACAAGAACCTGACCGGCATCCTGATCTCCCATGTGGATGACCTCTACTGTTCAGGCATTGGCAAGCTCTACGAAGAGTCAATGCGTGTCCTCGAGAAGGAGATCTACCTGAAGAAGAAAGTTGGTGAGTTTCGCTTCTGCGGGAAGAATGTCAAGCAGCTCCCAGACGGCTCGATCGCTGTCGATCAAAAAGATGCAATCTGGAGCCTCGACTATGTGGTCCTGGACAAGAAACGACGTGCTCAGCCAAATGCACGCCTGACCGAGCCTGAGAAGACACAGTTCCGAGCCCTCATCGGCTCACTTGGCTGGATCGCGCGCCAGACGCGACCAGATGTTTTGGTGAATGTCAGCATCGCTTCACAACAGCTGGGCTCTCCCTCCGTCAAGGACATGGTGGACCTGAACAAGGTGGTCCGAGTCTTGAAAGAGGAACTTCATCAAGCCGCCGTGCGAGCTCAAGGACCTGGCTGTCTTTGCCATGTCCGACAGCAGCTTCGCCAACACCAATGGCTTGAAGAGCCAGACCGGCTATGTCATCGGCCTTTGCACCTCCGAGATCACCACCGGTGTTCCCACGGCCATTTTGGTTTTGGAGACCTACAGTGGCAGCATCAAGCGGGTATGTCGCTCGACTTTGACTGCCGAGACGAATGGTTTTTTGACAGCCGCTGAAGCTGCCGACTATGTGAGGTCGCTCCTGCTGGAACTCCAGCACCCTGGCTGTCGCATGGCGGACCTCGACCGCCACTTCGTGAAGGGAAAGCTCCACCTCTTCACGGATGCCAAAAGCCTTGAGTCTACGCTCAACAAAGACGCAGGGCAACCGAACGACAAACGGGTGAGGATTCTCCTTGCCCAGGTGAAGGAGATTTTGGACCGACCACCCGACGACGAGCCCGACCTCCAGGTTTTTTGGGTTGACACAGCCCAAATGCTGGCTGATGTTTTGACTAAGGTTGGCTGTGAGAGGGAACCTCTCCTTGAAGCCCTTTCAAAGGGGACCTGGACCCTGCAAGCTTCTGAAGAAGCACAAGCAAGGAAGCAGGCCATTCGAGATGGCCGTAAGCGCCGAAAAGCAGCTGCAAAACCCTCAAAGGATGAGGACGGGTGTGAAACGGACATGAAGCATGGCAGTTGAACATCCTTGGAGGGCATGCAGTTGCGCATGAAACCATGCATCCGCGCCGCAGAGCGCTCTTGAGTGTTCAAGCAAAAAGGTGCCTTCAATCCGGTGCGCCGTCTCGCGGATTTTGAATAAATATAATTAGATTTGGGAGATGCGGTTCTGGGGTGATGCATTATCAGCACCACAGCAGGAGCAGCAGCAGCAGCAGCAGGGTTAGGAATGACTGGGAGCTTGGAGTATAGTCTGTCGACATCTGTCGTCTACACACAGGTGTGTGCGACATCAGGGCCTCAAAGAAAGAGGAGAGAGGTACTAGAACTACCTACTAGTACCACCAGGTCCTTCAAGATCGGTTGAGTTAATTTTTGATTGCTGACTTGGGTTTGGTCATGCTCCAAAGATCTGCAAGGTCTCTTGTTGGTACTACTTTTGTTGTGCCCGCGGCCCTGCTTGAGATAGTTTCCTCGAAGAAGCGCTCGCACTAATGATTTGGTTCCTAGATTTTGAGGGAAACTTAACCCGCGCACCGCTTCGGCCCTGAGTGCATGGCCTACAGCCGGAAGAAGAATCATGCTCAGTGCATAGCACAGCATCTTGTACCGAAGCTCCTCAACATGTCAAAAAGGAACCACCTGCTCTTCAAGGTCCGCTCTCGAAAATTCAGCGACGCCAAGGCTCTGACCCTGGCTTCTTTTGTGTTGCTCTGGTTCGCATTGATTGTATTGATCGGCATCATCCCCTGGAGAAAGTGTGCGTGTATGGCACAGTGGCACCTCGTCACCTCTTCTGGGTGGCCGTCCAGTAGGTACTCATGATTCGAGCGTGTGGTCTGGTGCAACGGTTCACGGGTGAAGGGTTTTGGCTTGGAGAGAGTCCCAGCAAGTCCACATCAACGCACCTTGATCCAGGGATGGTGGAGTGCTTTGGCGGCTGTGGGCCGCTCATGTGCGGGCCTGCAGGCTTCATTCTCCAAACAAGGAAGGAAACATGCAAGTACCATCACCATCAAAGTAGTAATGCCCTTTGTTACTAGTATCGATGCCCTTTCTTACTAGCAGCTTGAAAGGTTCGTGTGCCGCTGTCAAATTGCTTTGGTATTCGTCAAAGTTCTCAAGACGGAACCACATGTAGACAGAGGTAACAAATGGTGACAGGCAAGCGAGCGGACAAAGTCACCATGGACCTCAGCAGGCGCAGGACAAAGTCTCTGGCCAGGGAGCTCCGCTCGCTCCAACCTGAGAAGCCATGGGAATGCCGAAATGCACAGAGGAATCAGGAGCCCCTAGTAACTAGCGTCCTTGCTCCTAGTAGCGATGCCCTTTGCTCCTAGTAGCGTCCTTGCTCCCAAAATGTAAATTGTTCTTATAAAGGTGCCTCCTACCTTTGCCAAGCACGTCAGAAGCCTCTCATCGTCTGACCAAATTAAATACATCATCATCTTAAATCTTATTAAAGCAAAAAACAAACAAGAGGAACTACATCATGCCGAATCTAAGATTCAACCCAGATCAACCCAGCCTTCATCTTCCTTGATAAAGCTCCAAGATTTCCTGGCGGTGGCTTTTTCTGGGTGATTCTCTGCAACCGGCAGATTGCAAACCCCTTTGGTATGTTTACACGTAGTTGTCGTACAGGTCTTTCTAATGTTCCCTTGTTCAAAGGGGAAACCGGGGCAACTGTAGGGTAACGGACAAAGCGTTCTAACAACGCGGTAAAATTGAATACGGCAGGGGCTCCCGAATGCTTTCCAAGAATGTTTTCTTGGATAGCCAGAGGTCTTGGACTTTAACTACCAAATGCTAGTAGCGTCCTTGTTCCTAGTAGTAATGCCAGGAGCTACTGGTAGTTTCTTGCTCCTATTAGTAGCGATGCCCTTTGTTCCTAGTAGCGTCCTTGTTCCTAGTAGTATCGTTTACAGTGAGTGTATGAAAGAAAAATCTGGCTCCTGGAACTGACGCTGGCGTGGTTGCCCACCAACAATGCATGGGCAATAGCACCCACACTGGCACGGTCGGTTGAATTCGATCAGCCCAGGTTCAGCCCGCAAAGCACTTGGCAACTTCATGCTTTGGTGGGATGATTTGTGTTACATAAATTTGTGAAAGTCTTTGTGCAAGAAAGCGTGCACGTAAATTGCAAGCTACAACGATATATAGAAAAGTACAACAATGAAAGCTGCAATTATTGCACATAGATGCAAATAGTTAATTTTGCAAATATGATCACAGTGATTAAGAGATATGACATAACAGCATCCTGCTAGACTCCTAAACATAGCCTGGAATCATGGTCATTGATTTTTTTTCAAAGAGAAGCAAGAATAGCACAACGGGTGGAGGCCATCGCTATTAGGGTGGAAGCCATTGCTAAATCCGCCGGCCCTGGGGCACGGCGTGTTTTGGGTAGTTGGGTTTTTGTTAGTTCTTTGTTAAGCTATGTCTTGTCGGTTTTAGTGCTCCCCCGGGCAGATTTTTGAACGGTCTAACCTGACCCCCCCTCCCCCCCCTCCCCCCATGTAAGTATTGGTGTTTGCACTGTCTCTTGTTTGTACTTTTTGGTTTCCATGTCATATGTTGCTTTGTCTTTCTTTTGTGAGGACATGCCTTTCTGAGAGCCTAGGGCTTCGCGCCTTCACTGTGGGAAAAGGAGCCAATTGTGGAAGTGGGCACTTTAAAGAATCGAAGATTGAAAGAAGCCCCCTAGCGTTGCCGTGCTGTGGCTTTACTTGGTTTGGAGCAACAGTGCAGCTTCATCATCCACGTCGAAGATCGAAGGAACCCCGCCCTCCCCCTCCCTTAGCTTTGCCGTGCAGTCATTTTCCTAGAAAGTAGGGAGCAGGGAGTAGAACCCCGCCATGCCATGCACCGTAAATAAGTATAAGTAGTAAGTAGAAAGTTGGAAGTTGGAAGTAGAAAGTAGGGAGCAGGGAGTAGTGAGTAGCATGCCATGTGCACAGCACAGAGCAGACCTTTTACCATCTTTTACCTACTGCTGTGTCAGCCTTGCACCCTTATCTGCATAAATGTCACTGCTTCTCCGGATCTACTCTTGCAGTCACCCCTTCTCGGCCAACGTCCCACCGCTGCACCGCACTCACACCCACTAAGTTGGCTTTCTCGCTGCGGCCAAAAGGGCCGGCGGAACAATCCGCAGGTGTAAATTAGGCTCCTTAAAGTCTCTTTCCCAAGCACAGAATTGATAGATCGCTTCCAGCATCTTCCAGCTGTCAAGCTTGGCCTCCACATGTCAGCGGATCCACCTTTCTGCTCGGAGGACTTCATAACCTGCGGATAAGTCCGGGTCGGTATACAACTTTGGTGAAAGTCAAACTAAGACGTCTCTTTGAAATCCGAAGTCATGCCGAGATTTGCACGCAGCCTCTGGAACTGTGTACTCGCTTGGGTTGCTTTGAATTATCCTGAGGCAGGATCATGAGATGTTGAGGAGTTCAAACGGGAAGGAAAAAGCCCAAGCTGCAGCTGAGATCTGCACGAATTATCAGGATCCAGGATTCCGGCAATGCCAAAGTCTACCACCTTACACGTTAAGTCCAAAGTCCAGAGAAATGCAAACACACAAATGAGACACTTTTTCGACGCAGCAGTCGAAATCGCCCGACTCTCTATGCGACTTCGTCCTGCCTTGATCACTGCGTCTGGCAGCTTGGTGGTTAGTAGAAGACTGCTGGGCTTCATGTCACGATGGAAGACCTACAATTGCTGACACTTTACGATGCAAGACAGCGACAAACAGTGCAGTCCATTTCAACATGTCTAAGGAAACATGTCAATTCATGTCAATTCATGTCATCATCTGTGGCACCTGCGCAGAATGACTATGGCTCAATGCAAGGAGTGCCTGCGACACAAACATCAACAACAATACCCTCTTCTTGGCTGCCAAAATATTGGAACATGCTCGCCATCGGAGCAAGTGTAGGGCAAAGCTATTTGGTTGGTGGTTGGCGGTTGATAAATGAGAACTTGCTTTTCATTTTTGAATTGGTTTGCTGTGTCAATTTAACTGCATCCTCCTGTAGGAGCGCACGCATATCCAACCTTGCTCTTTTCCACCAGCTAAGCAGCTTAAAGACGCGGTGTGCAAATTGCAATGGTGGCTTGCACTCCCATGCATCCCTGATGCTCCCAAAGCCTTTTCCGCATGGCAGATGTGGCACGTTGGATGTAAAGACATCTTTTGTTCGCTGGGCTCTCCAATTCCATGGTTGAACACACGTCAGAAGACCGAACATACGTCCCCGACCGGCAAAGCTGTAGCAAATTTGTGCAAGTGCCAGCAACAGCCAACAGCCAACAGCCATGATGAGCACCCTGCATGATTCTTTGAAGCTCCTTTCATCCACTGACGATTGGCAAGATCCAGTTCAGACTTGGTAGGAGTTCTGCAGTAAGCCTGGGAGGCTTGCCACAAAACGTCTAGACTAGTATGTCAAAAAAATGTTGTATTAACATGTAAATTAGCCCAAGTCATGGCGGCATTTCTATGAGCCATTACCGTGTAAGGCGATATGATTGATTTTGTTGGAGGATATGCTGCAGTTGTTGATGGAAGCGAGGCTACAGAGCAGTGAAGAGATCAAACTGTTACTGGCAGAAAGAATGGTGTACAGTAATTACCAATGTGTAGCTAGTGATGCTATGCGCGGCTGCCGGGCCTAAAGTACTCTTTCATGTTCCAGCGCAGTTGTCCACACTATTCAAAGAAGGATGTACAGAGTTTGGTATCTTGAGTAGGCGTTTTCCCGGCCAAACTTGCTGGGAATGTAAGAATAGGGCAACCATGGGCAACTACAAGTAGCGCTGACTGATCCAAAAACAATGCCGTGTGCGCCAAGCCAGCCTGGCGCACATAGGCTGCGCAGGTGGCTTCTTGAAGCCAGTTGCCTTCATCCATTCGCTCCAGCCAATCCTGCTGTCTGCAAACTGAAAACTGCAGTCTTAGCGTCTTAGCAAAACATGCATCAACAAATCAATTAGGATGACATAGGTGTTAAAAAGCGGAACATAGGAAAAGCGTCAGGCTGAATGGTCTGACTTAAATAACTTTGTGTGCCGAGGCAAGAGGACTCACTTCCCTGGCCTGGACATCCCCACCCATGTAGTAGTCACTGATGATGTAGTAGTTCTTGTCGTCCTTGCTGTGAGTGACGTAGAGGTTTTCTTTTGCCCAATGGCACTCTCACACGCAAATCCGGGCGGTTAGGGTTGAAGGACTAAGACCACAAGCGACCGGCGACCTGTGTATTTACCACTGTATTGCATGCATGTGCTAAAGATCTAAAGAAACAACCGCTGGAAGTGAACGGCAACCTGTTTCACGGTTTGCAGCTAACATCCTCTCATGAGTGCTGACATCCTCACTGGACAAACTGTGCACAATACATCAAAAAATATTAAATCCTTACAACATATTCTGTTGGCCTTCATTCCTCTGTGGAGCTTGCAGGACAACGATGATTGATGGTGTTTGTGAACTGCTGTGCTTGGAACACTTGTGTTAATCACACAAGTGGAGGAGTAGAAATGCAACATTGCAAACATATCACATGTTAAATAATCTCGTATAGGTACTGTGTCTAAGGAGTTTCAGGCTACTGCTTGGCGTACCTTCATTGAGCAACAACCATGATGACATGTTGCACGGGTATGACAGGCCTTTGCTTTTTTTGCTGGAGGCATTATGTTGTTCTAATTATGCAACATATAGATCATAGATCGGCCCGAGAATCTCTATTAAAGGAAATCTTGCAACTTGTTCATATACATGGAACGCATCTGCAACCTAAACTCATAGAACACCTTTCCTTGGACCACAATTATGCACCAATTGTGCTTTGCAAACGCGTCCTCCATCAAGTCTGTGATGCTGGAGATATGTGGGTGCTGCAGTTCCTGAACATTTTGACAAATCTGACAATCCAAGAATCGAATTGGACGCACGCCCTTTGCAGATTCCACACGCCACACAGCAGCAAGGACAATGATGCTAAAACTCTGCGTGTGTTCACAGACTTGCCAAAAGCAAAACGTGTTTGTCACAAAACCAACATTTTTCCGTAGGCCATGGATTTAGTTATCAGTCGCTAGTGGTTTGCAAATGTCTACGAGTCTACCTCTCAGCTTAGACACCCTGGCGAGGTTCCTGCCACGATGTATCAAATATATGCACAAATGGACTGTTTAAGTGGACAGTGGGCGCCTACATTGCATCAAAATGATCAACAAATATCAGGATCTATATTAGAATTAGAATATTCCAGGGAGATCAAAAGAAATTACAATATATTGAGATCAATTAAATTACCAGAAATATTCCAAACCCAGGGTTGAAAGAGAGTGCAACGGCCTAACGTCGAGGGCTTCTCGCACACAAAACACCTCCACCAGCAGCATGAAGAGCCGGCGGCCACAGAAAAAATGTTCTGAACCAGCAGCACGCACCAAAGGAACCTATTGTTTTCGCTCGTGTCGTTAATCTTACACGGGTCACGATCGTAGTAAGGTCCGCGTGCAGGTCATGATCACAGTACCTTTCTGCATGCTCAGATATAGGGTTTGCTGCTTGGTAGGCTTGTGCCAGAGCTACATTAAGACTTAAGACCTGACGACTTGGCCTGATTCTTGAGCAGGCTGAGTGCCGAGAGTAGCCCATAGCGTGCCAGAGCAGGCTGAATGTGAGGAATAGGTTATAGTGACGGTAGTTCTCTCAAAGCCCATTGAGGTCTGCCCGAACCTTAGTTTAGTGTGATCTTAAAAAGGAGTTCTAGCCTCCCAACACGGGAGGCGTATGTGTGAAGCCCTTGGAGTCACAGGGAGCCTGTCGGTTTTTAGAATACCTTTGCAGCAGAAGTGCCTGACTCTTAACAGCGGCAGTCCAACGAAGAGGCAGTATTGAGTCATTGATATGGATTCTGGACGCAGAACCCACACACCTGCAAAGAGATCGAGATTGTGGCGTTGAGTAATCACATTCCACTCTGGAGCTCAGGTGAGGTTTTCAGATGATTCAGAAGTCTGCAAATGCGGATCAAAGGGCTAAAGCGTTCATCGTTTCAAGTCTTGAAAACTTTGGAGTCTTGGAAACTGAACCTTGATGGTCAAACCACCTTACTTACACCTGTCTTGGTTTCTTTGTTTTTTACTCAGGCTGGCGAGTGGCAATCCGCAAGTCACTTCCGTACGACATATCCCGAGTATGTGCTCGTCTCGCCATCTAGAGCCGACCATGACTGCAGTAGGTTGCTCCATTCTCCAGTCACCGAAGCACCTAACTATATATGAATGATTCCATGGGAGGCCAGCCAGGAAATAAGAATACCATGTGCAGACTTTGTTGGGGGGAGCGCCTTCCCCCCAGTGAGTGAGAGTGAGAGTGAGTGTGGGTGAGAGTGGGTGTAGTGAGTGTGGGTGAGAGTGAGAGTGAGTGAGAGTGAGAGTGAGTGTGTGAGTAAGAGTGGAGAGTGAGTGAGTGTGAGTGTGAGTGCGAGTGAGAGAGTGTGGGTGAGAGTGGGTGATCTATTCCTAGAATTGACCTGTGAGCGGCGTGCAAAACCCCTTCTGCGTCGTACTAGTAGTGCGCACTCTTCCCAACGTTATCGTTTCTTCTGTGGACCTTATCGTTCCTGAGGGTTTGGACACACCTAAGAACATGCACTAAAACCTTATCGTGCTTTTTTCTTTTTGAACCTTGTCGTTCCTGAAGGTTTCCTTCACTTTACTTATATACTTAGTCTTCACTGTAGTGATGCTGCATTCATCGGAGGTTTTGGCAGTTGCTCATATAGGTTGTTTTGAAGTGTGTTTAACACAATACCTTGTTTCAATCCAGGGTCAAAACGTTTGCCTCCTTCCTCTTCCTTCCTCCTTCCTCTTCCTCCTTCTTCTTCCTTCCTCCTTTCTCTTCCTCCTTCCTCTTCCTTCCTCCTTCCTTCTTTCCTTTCTTCCTTCCTTCTAATTGATCCTGAACCCTTATAATAATTTCTAATTAATTGATCCCCCGATTGTAATGTGTTTTCTATGCCCTTGCCAACTTGTACCTCGCATGGTGACACCCCAAAACGTCCCAGCCTGCAATGAGCTCAACTTCTCCATCACATCGCTTGCACTTCTTATTCTGGCCTTCTCTCCCTCCCTCCCTCTCTCTCTCTCTCTCTCCCGTCAATACAACACACTCAAAAAATAACTTGACAGCCGACCATACTGACCATACAACCACAAAAATAAAGAATCTAAATGAAGAGATACAGGTATCTCAACTCTTCAAACGTCCATTCCAACACCTTGGGTACGGTCTTGCACATCTTCAGCTTTTGAGTGTCCTTTTCTTTGATCACCTGCGCATGGGGTGTGAGCAAGCAGGCTTGATTCGAGTCGAGTAAACAAGCAGAAAAGGCAGCCCCACGTTTGATGCCTTTTCACGCGCACGGGTCCACAGTGTTTGTGTCTTGCTCTTGAACCATGCAAGGTTCAGCCCAAGATCGTTCTCCGAGCATCTTGGAGCCAGCAAGCGGCCGAGGCATTCATGTGTATGGCAAACTTGTTGAATAAAGGCAAGAAGCTTATCTGCCTAATTGCACCAACTAAAACAGACCGATTTACCATTCACCACACACTCTGCAAACCCTTGCACCATTACATCGTTGCAAACTAACCAGTGCGCCATCTGAAGGCTGTTGCCGCACCAGTGCTCTGCTCTAATCTGTTCTGCAACTCGAAGTTCTGGCCAATCAAGAAACGCGAGGCTCCTGCAAAACAGGTGGCTTTCTAGAGCCACAAACCCTTCATCTCTAAGTAGCTCTCGTGTAGTTGCCACACTTGTGTTTACATTATTCATCGAAAAAAACACCTTTTCATCTGTGGTCCTTGCGCTTCGTCTCTGGTGGATACGCGGCTCTTGCTGTCTCTGCCTCAGTCTCAAGGCGTCCAGAAACCAAGGCGACATAGCCATACCAAGCAGAGCCCAAAATGGACAGCGCGCAGCCCACAGCAGAGAGGCCAGACAAATCATCCCCCAACATCACCACGGACAAAACAATCACGAGCACCTTGCAGAACTGTCACATGATAAGCTATGCTGGCAAATGTTTCCCAACTGCATGATCATGGAGGAACCTTCGCACAGGTTTCAACACATGGTTGCATAGCTTGTCGATGCTTGACTTAAATTAACATATCCCTTATCGATGCCGAGACCTTGCTCACGTTCTGCAGCATCAAAACAGAGGCCGCTGAAATGAGGCGTGACACTGCGAGACCATAGAAGCCCAAAGAACAGCCGGAGATTCCAGAGCCGACAAGCGTGACCCAGGTCGCTGCGGAAGAGTTTTCCAGCATGAAAGGCCAAGTGATTGTCTCTCGTGTGAGCAAGGCGACCAACAGCAAAGGCATCATGCCGAAGGTGTTGTTCCTTCAGCACAAATGTGAACTGTGCGTAAATGTCGGCAGTTTCTCTTTGTTTGTTTGTCCGTTCTTGGCCTTTGAGTGTAGTCCTATGGGTCATCAAACAAATGCCAAATGACGATCAATGAAGCCCTTTAGAGTTTGCTGACATAATAATCACTACAATATAACTATCAACGTCGGAATCTTCCTTGCTGAACAGAAAGTAGGCACGTTACCAGAAAAATGTAGAAAGCAGGGTGTCAATGGCCTGGAGCAAATTGCAGTGCAGCAGGACAGCAGGAAACAATCCCAGAACACAGTTATTCTTGGACCTCTTGTTCTTCTCCCAGCCATGCCTCCCTGCATTGATTCACAAATCTGTTATGTTCTCTATGATATGAAGAGACACGATTTCCCCAAAACAACCTGCAGTTTAGCACCATGGGATTCCCAATTTAACGATTTACTGTACTTTTTTGCGGCCCAAATCTGGGCACTGGATCCCAAAGTACTAAAAAGAATAAGAGAGCATCAGGGGCATTCTTTGCTCCATGAAAAAAACTGCTTAACTTCAGGCAAAGCCTCATGATCATGCAAACGGCCAGTGGCTGTTTGAAGTCCTCACTCATCAGCAAGTGTCGCTGTAGCAATTTGTCCACTACGGTGAGCACTGTACCTGATGAAATGTAGAAAAACAACTAAAGCACTGCTGTATAAGTTGACTAAAGCACTACTTGGGCAGTGGATTTGAATCAGCTAAGGATGCCACGTCAAAAACCATTGACACAAAGAACACGGGCTCGAGAGCAAACAAAACGAAACATCAAGAAATTAATCAATGGCCTTGCAGTCGAGCAGCCTAGCAAAATGAAAATAAGACTGCGGGTGGTGACAGAAAAGTTGGACAGGCCATACAAAGTTGTGCCAAAGAGAGTCAGGACCATTGATAAGATGTGTCCTGGCCTCACAACCCTTGGACTATTGAAGAATATTTTTTCCAGGACAAAGGTAACAATGGGCAGGATGTTGCGGATGATGTTGACCTTGACTGCACTGGCTGCAAAGTTTGAAAATGCGACCACGAATCGGGGGTTTCGACGGCCTTTGTTTTGACCTTTTTTCCTTCCGTGCTTTGAGAGATTTGTGATTGTCATCTTCAGATATCTTCAGTTTGGTTGCATTGACAACACCTTGTCCACCTGGTGACCTGTTCGACTTTCATTAGAGTTTGCTGCATTTTGGACAGCCCATTGTCAAGTTCTGCTGGCACTCTCTTGTGATGGTTGTTGTTCTGGTTGGTGGTTGGCATGGTCATTGTTGCGATTGCGGTGTAGTGGAAGTCCTGGCGCATGCGCCTAGTCAAATTTCACGCGTTAAATTCTGGACCCGCGTCATTAACCCCAAACCCCCAACTGGCAAGCCAAGCCTACAGGTCAAAGGAAAGAAATTAAACCAAGAGCGCATTCTGGGCCGAAAAACGAAGACCGGTCAACAACTGTTTAGCAGGGGAAGCTCTCATGTCCCATGCTTTGGAATGGGAAGCTGCTCTTGTTTCCTGTGTTGCAAGAGTGTATGTATGTGCAACCGGTTGTGTGGCTTGCTGTCATTGTGCTGGAGGAAGCTTGGAGGCGAGGGCGCAGCGCCTCCTTTTCTTGCATTCTTTCTTTGTCGCCCTCCATCCCTCTGTTCGTCCGTGCGTGCGCACGAGCCTGCAAGCATGGTTGCCTGGCTGCCTGGCTGCGTGGCCTGGCTGCCTTCCTTCCTTCCTTCTGTCCGTCCTTCCTTCCTTCCTTTCTTCCTGCCTTCCTTCCTTCCGTCCCCCGTCCCTCCCTCCCTCCCTCCCTCTTCCTCGCTTTCTTCCTTCCTTGTGTTTGTTCTTCCTTGCTTGCTGCCTTGCTTCCTTGCTTGCAGCATCCTTCCTTGAGTATTTCTTCCGTGGTTCTTGCTTTTCGGGAACAAAAATAGATTCTTGAGTGCTCGGTCAGGTGGTTTTTCTGTTGGATTTGCACTCTGGTTATATAAGAGGTAAATACCAGTCATGGAAATGCTTAAGGCTTGGTCGCCAATGTTCCCTGAGTTTTGCTCCTTTTGCATTTATATCTATATATGTGGCTATCATTAAACATATGTTGCTTGTTTTTCCGAGTCACGGTGCTCACGGTGGTGCCTTCCAACGCAAAAATGGATGTGCCCAGCATACCCGAGACAAGGAAAGAGACAGGCAACCACCTGAAGAAGTCTCTGCGACTTGGCAGTTGCAAATCCTCAAAGCGTATGATGATCACCACAACATTTGCGATGAACATCTGAAAAATCACCAGCCTCAGCGAATGAGATAGTACCCAACGATTTTGGCAGCTAGTGGATCTTTACGTTATTCACTAAGAAGGTGAATAAGGCGTGCCGCAAATCAAAACAATACACGAATGGAAACGCTGATTGTGCCCAGGAGCAAGCAAACGGCTGAGAACGAGCTTGCTGCCTCCTTATTTAGCAGATTTGTGCAAATACTTGCAGCGATCCAAGAGCCCATGGAGAACTCCCTCTGTGAGAAGTTGCTTAAAATCACCTCATATCTGGCACGAGCCACGTCAAATCCCAAACTCAAAGAGAAGACACACGACAAAACTCCAGCTGCACTCAAATAAAGTTTAATGCTTTAGACCTTCTGGCTTGACAAGTGACGCACAGCAGCAGAAAACCGAGTAGGCCGGCCATCTGCTTGTCCGTCAAGTGCCGCGGTGATGTCCGAGGCCACCAATGGGGCACATCGAGCGGTTCAGCAGCATCGCTCTCATTTCTCCTGAGCTCACAACCACTTGTGGGTCTAATGGATTAACTAGGGCCTGTTGACACTGGTAGAGAAGCATGTTTGAGCTTATACTTGGAGATTCTCTTGATTCTGTTTGGCCAATACAAGTTGCATTCAAGCAAATCACAATATAAATGTCCAAACTGCAGAGTGGAGGGTCCAAACAGCGCCGAGCGGCTGAAAGTAGATTGGCTTGTCCTGCTCTTGCAGTCTCAGTGTCTGACTCTGATTTACTTGCGCCACTTGCAGCAAACAGGAGCTGCGCTGTCCCCATACCGCAGAGGGCTCTTCTGCAAGCAGCAGAAACGGGAGTAAGAAGGTAAGGATGAGGAAAGGCATCAACGGTGGTAAGGTGAGAGTGTAAGGTGAGGAGCGACCGCTTCACCCTGACTTTCTTGAACAATCTTCAAGAAAAACGATGTCCTTTCATGTTGCACTAGTCATGTCATATCCTTTCTTTTTTTAGAAAGTCAGGGCTGCGCGCTCAGCCGGCATTGAGCCAAGTAGAGCACAGAACAATTTCTCAAACATATTTCAAACAGAATCTTGCAAGGGCTGATACTGGAAGGCTTTCTGAATACTGTGACCCAGTGTGGATCACAGACTGGTTGGATTCTTTGATAGTTAAGTTTCCCTAATAATCTAGAAACCAAATCATTAGTGCGAGCGCTTCTGCGTCCAGTAGTTGGTAGCGTCCACTTGTAGGTACTGGCTACCTCTCCCTTACTTAGGGAAGGGGGGAGCGAGCTTCAAAAAAATATGGTCAGTTCAAGTGATCATTCAGTCATTGAGTTAAAAGAGCTGTTTTGGAGCAGTTTGGTTGTGGGTAACCAGGAGTTTGCTCGGATTGTGTGTGTTGTGGAATGTTGCAGTCCATCATTTACATTAATATGCGATTTAGAAATTCGGAACTTCCCAACAGAATACAGCACAAACACCAGCGTCACCAGCTCCAAAAGGTCGAGACCACAAGTAACAGCCTTTTTCATCTTGAGTCACTTGACTTCACGCACTGGTCGAGCATTGTCAGGTATTCTGAGCGCCCGCATTGGAACAGGCACGTGCGATGCATGCAAAAGAATTGGGGATCTCACGCACCTGGCAATTGAGCACCCGAATTGAAGCGGTTGTAATATTAATGCACCAATTGATCGAATTGATCTGTTCATCCTATAAGTGTATTTAAGTCTGTCCGGAATTTTATAGATACTATATTTCCAGTAGGTTGGAGGCCATCGCTACTAGGGTGGAGGCCATCTCTACTAGGGTGGAGGCCATTAGTACTAGTAGCAAGAAGCTACCACTAGCGATGCAAAACAGGTGGATGTTTCAATTTGCCAAGCTGCCGGACCACCACCGCAGGGCGTTTGATGGTTGTTGGCTCAGATTCCCGATAGACCTATCACAGTTGGATCCAAATATATATATATAAATATATTTCTCCGGATTTCAAAACACTAATATAAAGTGATCGGAAAGCCATCGCGTAGAAGACGGAGGAAACACGCGCTGGTGTTTGGTCCTCGGGTCCTCCATGAATGTCACACGCGCTCAAAGAGTATCTAATCCTCTAAGAGATGTTCGTTGTCGCATGTTATTTGCCTGACGGTGCAATTGATGATAGCCATGCGCCATGTTTGAGGTCTCAGGTCTGATACGGTATTGTCTTGTTGAGAGGCCGCTGTACTTGAGAGCCATGGATCATTGCACTGGGCCGCCATGCTGCCGGAGGGAAGTGCGACCTGGAAACGCTCAATCCAGGTCAAAGAAAAATTGCCTCCCTTTCAGGACAATGTGGGATTTTTAATGATCAATCTGATCCAAACAAAAACAACAAGGCTAACTTCCTAAATCACACAGTCACACAGAAATCGAACATGAAATACCAGCGCTGAATTGGTCCTTGAATTGGCAGGAAACCTTTTATTTGGCGGGGGGTGTTGGCAGTGTTGGCGTGCCCAATGCGCGCTACTACATTTTACAAGGGTAGTCCAGACTTCGTTCCTATGAATACGCGCATGTGTGAATGCACATTGACATGAGGATGCATCACCTCGCATCAAATGCTCTGCTCAAAGCAGTGCGGCTCTTGTTTCAAAGTAACCTTTGTAACCACATGGGACCTCACCATACCACTTCCAGACTTACATGAAGCATAACTTTAATTTGGAAGGCCTTGGCTGCTTTCGCCGAGTGGATGGTGGGTGTGGGCTACTGAGAGTTCGCACCCAGTGCGCCACTCGATGCGTTCTCGATTTCTTGAGCATGGCACTATAGTCACAACGCTAGTAGGAACAAGTGCATCGCTACTAGGAACAAGTGCCTTACTAGTAGTAACAAGAAGCTATTAGTAACAAGTGCCTTACTACTAGGAACAAGGACGCTACTATAGTCACTATATGTGGGGTCGATTTGTCGCTGGACTCCATGAGCATCTTGTGCTGACAAGGGTCCTTTTACTGCGGGCCTTGCAAACACTGCTGTGTTTTGCTATCCCACGCCTTATTGGCGGAGTGACCGACACGTCCTGTGCCAGGACCTGCCAGTGCGCCCACTGAGGTCAAGTGCGGTGAGGTTTTGCTCAGGCAATAGAACGAGCCTCGACTAAAACCAAACATGAATGAAGAACAGGAAGATTTAAAAAATCTCTATCATGGAGCCAAAGTTTGGCGAACTGGGAAATTGATTGAATTTGTCACAGCCAAACCGTTGGCCTGCGGTCTTTGCGGCGTCAAGGTGGACCTCTTTGCTCAGCAATGCAAATAATCACAATGAGTGTTTACATTTCTTTGTCTTGTTGCTCCCCATTGTGCCCGTCACCGCGCCTAATTTGAAAAAATACCTAAAACAACTTAAAACCCTTACGCTTGCGATAAATGCGCTGAAGATATAGCATTGGCATTACTTCCAGATCAAATCAGCCATGTTCACCCTGTGAAAAAACACGGACACAATCTTTTCTCCACCTTTCCATCGCACGTCTGGTGCTCAAGTTGCATCCTGCCCTATCTGCATTTGGAACTTGGAAGACTGACCGCAGCTAAGTTGTTGTCTGGTGTGTGCGCAGTTGCCTCTGCCCTTGCCTACCGGTTCAAGCTGCTGAGAATCTAGGCATTACTACAGTATCATAAAATCGATCTGAGGTTGACTGAATCTTCAAAGCACCAGTTTAGTAAACTTCTATCCAAGTGAAATCGACACCCCCTTGCGCATCACTGCTTGGTCGGCTCGAGTGCTTTCTTCGATCCTTGAGATAGTGCTTGTGCACCAAGGGAGCCTAAGCACCATCTCAAGGGATCCAGGAACCGGTTCGGGCAATGTTGATGCTTGCATGACCGGTCTATTGACTTGGTCAACCCCAAAGCGCTGTAAAGGTTTGAATGACATGCTGATTTTTATCTAACTGCACTACGACTGGCAAATATGGGCCTGGTGAAGTGCCCAACCCCACAACAAGGATTTGCCATGTTAAGCAAAAGTTTAAGCTGAATCTGAACTGTTAAAATCGGGCTAAAGCGCTCAGTAGCCAAAGCCTTCCAAAGATTCTGCAATATAAACAGCAATTGTTTGAAAATTCTCTGTCCTTGCCAAGTCTCGCTGGTTGGCTAGTGTCTTCTGAGTATCATAAGTTTCTTGAGTGGCCCGAGAACTGCCAGAGGTGTCCACTTACATATCGCGTGTTTTCTGTTCAAACCCAAACGGCTAAACATTGGATTCAAGTCTTTGACTGAGAGCCTGAGAGCTCGTTTCCTCCAGGCAAACTGGATGTGCGAAATATTGAGAAATTTACTTTGCTCCAAAAAGTGCAATGCACCTAGCTTTACTTTGCATGCAAACTCCTTGCTCGCGGTTCTAATGACGTGCATGGCCCGGGCCAACTTTGATGTCTGAAAGTGCTGCGAACGCGCTGAAGTTCGAGCAGGTCCATGCTGAGTTCATGCTACGTTCCATTGAATCTGTCCGCACAACTGTGCTTGCAGCATCTCTCCAAGGACAAATGACGTATGGGTGTTTTGAACTGTCTTGGTCTAAGGTCTAACCTTAAGAAGTAGGGAACCAAAGACATGAACAGGAGGACAATGTATACCTGCTTGTCTGCAGCTGAGGGTTGGGTTTTTATCATCTTCGCCAATTTCGCTTTGTACACCGTCAGCAAGTTGATCAACAGTTACATCTTCAAGTTGATTGCTTGCACCTTTCAATGGATTGACTGCAGCTTTGAGTGAAGACTTGTTAGTCTAATGCCCTGCAAAATTCCTGCCTGCTCCACGAAGGGGTGAAGGCTATCTTCTTCCTGTCGCAGCTCAAGGAGCCCAAAGTTGCCCGAGACCTCAGTCTCTCAAGGTCCCGTGGCTGGCGGCTCAAAGAAGTGCTCAAAGAAGTGTTGTCTTTACCAAAGCCTCACAGATTTGATATCTGATTGGAACAAGATCCTCTCCACTGCCACACTCCACAACTTGGATGCAAGATTTAATTTGTGAGATACCATACATGCTATGGGGCTCTCAACAGTGATCTGTTCCCATGCAATGTTGTAGGTAGCAGAGTTGGTAATGACCCGTTATGCCATTTTTGCACACCTCCCTTGCAGATTCTTAGGGTCTCTTGGTTCTAAAAATCTCTTGAGAGCCTCACACCGGAGGCACCACTTCTGGTACCAAGGAGGTCACCGAGGTCCTGGTACTTAGTGAAGTCCAAGGACAATCCCTTTTCTATAGCCTTCTATCAGCTAGCCTGTAATCTTCCTCCGAACCTGTTAGGATCTCTTAATGAACCTTTTAGGTTCTAGACACTCTTGGGTTCTTCATGGAATACACCATCTTTCTGCAAAGGAGGTCTTCACTCCTACGCCATCTTTCTGCAAACCGGCGGAGAGTCCTAGCGGTGACCTTGGGAACTTCCTCGTCCACCAGGCGCCTAATCAATCAGTTCGTCAGCTTCAAGGCAAACCAAAAGAACTTAATAAGAAAGGCCCTACAAGCAATGGCCTCCAACCTAAGAGCGATGGCCTCCCAACCTAGTAGCGGTTAAAACACCTTCTTCAAGGCAAAAACGAAAAAACACAATGTGACAACATGGCTGGGGGGCTGCGCACTTTCTCCACAGAGGGATCTCTGAGCTTCCCTGGCTGCCTGGGATGCGGTCTTCCGGTCTTGGGTCCAAAGTTGCACAACTCCGTTGCCAACACAAGCTGTGGTGAATTGAGAAATTTCCTCTCCTAAGTCGTGACATTTGCTTACCAGTCAACAAAGCCAGCACAAGGCCGTTGCCGCACAATCAGCAAAGGAAGCCGATATTACATCAATATAATCGATAATAATCATAATAATATATATCACGATAATTAAGTGAAACCATGCCTGTGAAGATCCTAAAGAAAGCAGCTTGATCTGCTTCGTGACAAGCTCCGATGAGCCCCAAACCATGAGAAGTCCGGCTGCGGGATTGCCCTGACAACGACTTGCTGAGAAGCATGGCCATGTATCGACGATATCGACGTTACCATTGAACGTAAGAATGTTATGTGTGCAATTGTTCAATTGTTTGCATAAGTCATAAGTCTCACCAATTCATCATCGGAGGCAAATAGTGTGTGTTTATTGAATGTTTATTGAATGTTTATTGAATGTTTATTGTCTGAGTCTACGGCACCCAAAGAGTGCAAGCGGCATTAAATTATATATTACAGATATTACAGTAAATGCTCAAAGCTCTTTTAAGCCACTGCTTGATGTTGCATCTGTTCTGCATGATTCATAGGTGGAAGGGCAACAAACAATTAGTACTGGTACAGAAAAGGTACCAAGTTTCCCTCAAGTCAGCTGAGAATCTCCTGGCCTTCCTCTCGGAGGATTCCAGGATTCTGCCACCCCCAAACCACTCCGGCAGCTCATGGGAGGTGACACTGAGAAGACTGCCTTGGCGACGGACTCCGACCTCATCAAGGCCAGGGCTTGACATCTTCACATTATGCAAGGGTCGACAAGATCCTTTTTGTATCTGTTTGTTGGGTTCCATGATGTTCTACGGGCTGCAAATAGATTGTAGATTCATAATGTGGCTCTGGCTTGCATGTTGTACATTGGATGTTGTACATTGGAGGAAGGCCTCCATTAAGATTTGCGCCATGTTTCACAAGCTCCAAGCAGTGAACGAGGTTCTGACGTTTGATCTGGGAGAGCCACAGGTTCAACACTCCTGCAGCAAAGCCGGAGCACCAGTTTGAATTAGAATCAGAAGCAAGCAAATGTCACTTCTGGACGTGTTATGGCCTGTGGAATCCTGAAGAATCACGATGAATTGTGAGGCACAGAACGCCCGTTTTGTGGATATCATTGAGACCTTGAAACATCTTTAAAAGCGTTCCAGACCAACGACCCAGCCTTCTGCTCACTGCTGGTGACAAGAGCCTGATGGGGTGCCTCGGCCGACAGCTTCATCCGTCTTGCCAGTGATCAGGAAAATACTTTGATCTTTTGCTGCATACTCTGGTCTGGAGCACCTTGCAAAAAAAACTATATACATTGAAGAGTGCAGGGACTATCTGGGACTGTCTGGGGTAGGCTGGGTTCACAGCTTTGACCCGACGTCGCCGTGTTCGTGACTCCTCCAAAACGTTCGGAAACATCCATGGGCTGTCGGAACTGCAGCAAGAATCGGGTCTGGCATAGTCTCGAGGTCAGGCGGAAACATTCATAATATGTCCTTGACATCGGATTTCAACACGTGTCAACACCACTATCATGATTCCTGCCATTCATCGTCGGCCAGTACAGTCGCGGAGGTGCAGCCCTCGGCGTTCTTCGAAAAAGGAAGGTTGCTGAGGAAGAACGAATGGAAATGACGGATCTACAATGGTTCAAATTGGTGTATTTACATGTCGTCTGGATGGGTCAATAGCATGATGTGTTCCTAATTCCACAGCAAAGCAAATTCTTTTGCACCCACAGCCACACAGCTTGACTCACGCACAAGAAAGTGCCAGACTCTCGTGGAGAGCCCCATATGGCGGGGTGAAGTGTCCTGGCACTTCAAGCTCCGTGTCAGGTCTAATGGTCTGCTCTTAAGTCGGGGTAGAAACCACACCAACCTCCCTAATGTGTTTACTAAATGTGGCACAAACCATGTATAATCGTGGGCCTAAGTTGCTGGGTTGTGTATGCGAAAGCATTCCTTTTAGATCATGAAACCATATGACTGTACCTGCTTTTCATCAAGCGGCCCCTTCGAGAAAAAGCCCAAACGTCGGTATTGGAGAGTTTGAAAGGAGCCAACCAAGAGACCAAACCAAGGTCGGGTTGAGCAGGACCACTGGGCCAAGCACCACATATGATGCAAAGGAGAAGAAGACCCACAAAGGAGTTCGCCCAAGGCGAAAGAGAGATATGATAACCTCAAAGGCGCCAGGAAGAACAAGCTCAAGCAAAAGTGAACTGCCACTGGAGGATGGTCTGGTGGAGGCAGTAGAAGGGAAAAGGGTGAAAAGAACCATCCGCGACAGCTGCACCATGACTTGGGAGAGGGCAGATCAGGAGAGGAAGAAAAGAGAAGAAGGGAGCAGTGGAGGCAGCTTCGTCTAGCGCAGCTCCTTCATTGCCGATCACTCAAGCGGCAGCATCAAAGAGTACTGCACAGCCGAAGCAAAGGGGAGAAAATAGAGGAAAAGCTCCACCTCCGTTTGCAAGACGGGGGAAGCGAAGAAGAGGTCATAGTGCTCAAGACATTTCGGCGGGGTACATCACAAAACAACACCTATATATAAATGCGACTACCTGCATGCACCACACACAGGAGAACTTCGCAGGTCAAGCTGGTGCCCGATCTGCAAGCCTCGAACAGGCACAGCTTCTGGCCTCAACTTGTGGTGCAACGCATGGGGCCAAGAAGCCCACTCAAATCGTGGCTGTGCCCAAAAATTGGCACCGACTTGCTGTCAGCCGCTGCCATGCAGGATCAGGATGACAAAGCAACTTGAGCTGACATGTGGCGGCACACCACCTCCAACTTTGAAGATGGTTGTTTTATCCAATCGGATGAGCAAAGGGGGGATTCAAAACACTCCTTTCAGTTCATAAAACAATATGACTGTAGCTGCGTTTCATCAGCCCAAACGCCGCTATCAGTGACGCTTAAGAGGAGGAGGAGGAGGAGCAGGAGGAGGAGGAGGAGGAGCTTCTGCCAACCAAGAGACCAACCGGTTCAGCAGTTTAGCCCTTTCTCCACTCGCAAATCCGATCTAAAGGACATTACCGCACACTGAACTCTAGCACAGCTACTTGGCTTCAATCATCTTTGGTGCCCTCACCTTGTTCTATTTCTCAAACAAGTTCCAGCAAGCTCTTGAGTCTTGAGTGCAAAAGGCAAGACTAAGAGAGAGGCATCATGAATATTGTACAGCTTTACAAATGCAGCCTATGATATGAAACTGTTCCATATTTGGTTCACAGTTTGCGAGTCTAAGGTGCAAGAGCGTGGACAATACCCAAACCCTCACAAATATCCAGGTCAATCTCTGCGCTGTTGAGATTGTACTGGCACCCCACGAAAACGAGCAACAGAACATACATAAGCTATCATAAGCTAATGAATGGTAGCTTGCAAAGCGCTAGCCGCTAGTCAGTCTTTACCGTGAAGCCAATTCAGCTTTCATCGATCCTTCGAGTCGAGGTTGGTGAAGCTTGGAGCACACGCCTCCGCATGCAACCACCAAACAGATTCACCCCAACAAGGCTCATAGAATGCAGCTTGTGCAGAAAGAATCAAGTCTTGTCTACTCAAAACTGCAGAAGCTAGCAGAATATATCGTTTGTGTCAATCTGGAATATCATTCGCCACCATCCGGCACTCTGCCATAACAAAGATGTGCGACGGTGTGTGTGTGTGTGACTTGGTTCTGCTATGTTTAAGTTACTGCCCCGTTACACACTTGTCTGCCTTGTGTGTCTGTTTTTCTACCCTTTGCAAGACGAGTCACACAGACCCTTCACGTTCGATCTTGTCGAATGCAGGCGTTGAGTGCGCTGGCGCCAAGCCACGGGTCTCGCATGCGCAGTCCCATTCCCTGAGACGAGGGAGGCGATACCGAAGGACTTGTGACCTGGGCCTTTTAGACAAACGTGACACGGGCGTTCTGCTGCATCTTGGAGTCGACTGAACTATCCGGGTACGTTCTATTCCTACTGAAGTCAAACTGAAGTCCTACTTAGCTAATGGATGCTAAGCTAATGAGGTAGTCTTGGCAAAGGGTAGTGACGTCCAAGGCCTTGGGCCTACCCACCAGGAATTGCTCCGAAATGATGAGATCTTCACTTCGTTTTCAAGGCCGTAAGAGATCAATAATTCATGAAAATTGCAATTTAAATATGGTCTTTTGTGGGAATACAGCATTCTTCCACAATGGAGCACTCACATCCACAGCAAAGAAGCATCCTGAAGAGATCTGAAAAGTTGATCTGTGAATGACTATTCTCGTAACTTAACGAACAAGTTTTCTCTGCCTGCGCTGCCGATTCAACATCCTGGCCTGAGGCTGCAGACTGATATGGGGAGACTACTGTTCAATACTGCGCATCTCTTCCACTTCTGAGCTGGTAACAGGAATGCAACAGGTAGTCCAGTCCGGCTGACCGTCTCAACGACTTTTTGAGAAGGCGGCCAGTGGTGAGCCAGTCTCCATACCAGTCACAGCACGATATACCTAGGCCACATGGTTTAGGTTTAGGGAATGCATTTATGGGGAGGTGAGCCAGGACAAACAAATGTTACGTTGATATATGGGGGTTGTTCTTTATTCAGTTGCAGGGCATAAGGCTGAAAAGCCCTTGCGCTCGCCCTTGCGCCTTCTTGCGCCTATGAGGGTTTTTGCATGTTTTGACTGTTCTATTTGTTTTAGTATTAGCAAGAAAACGTGGCGCGCCCGACCTGGAAATGAGAAAAGTAGTAGTAGTAGCAGCAGCAGTAGTAGTAGGAGCAGGAGGAAGAGTAGGAGTAGGAGTAGGAGTAGGAGCAGTAGCAGTAGTAGTAGTAGTAGTAGTAATAGTATTATAGTAGTAGTAGTCGTCGTCGTCGTCGTAGTAGTAGTACTAGTAGTAGTAGTAGTAGTCGTAGTAGTACTAGTAGTAGAAGTACTAGTAGTAGTAGTAGTAGTAGTCGTAGTAGTAGTAGTAGTGGAAAAAGTAGTAGTAGTAGTAATAATAGTATTGGTACTACTAGTAGTAGTACTAGTAGTGATACTAGTAGCGGTAGCAGCAGTAGCGGTAGTAGTAGCAGCAGCAGCAGTAGTAGTCCTAGTAGTAGTGGTTGTCGTTGTAGTAGTAGTTGTAGTAGTCGTAATAGTACTAGTAGTATTTGTAGTGGTAGTAGTCGTAGTAGTAGTAGTAGTAGGAGTAGGAGTGGGAGTAGTAGTGGTAGTAGTAGTATTGGTAGTAGTAGTAGTAGTAATAGTACTAGTACTGATACTAGTAGCAGTAGCAGCAGCAGTAGAAGTAGCAGTAGTAGTTGTAGCAGCAGCAGTAGTAGTACTAGTAGTAGCGGTAGTAGTAGTAGTAGTAGTAGAAGTAGTAGTAGTAGTCGTCGTAATAGTACTAGTAGTAGCCGTAGTGGTAGTAGCCGTAGTATCAGTAGCAGTAGTAGTAGTAGTCGTAGTAGTCGTAGTAGTAGTCGTAGTATTAGTAGTAGTAGTAGTAGTAGTAGTAGTGGTAGTAGGAGGGGTAGTAGTAGTAGTAGCAGCAGTAGTAGTAGTAGTAGTGGTAGAAGTAGAAGTAGTAGTAGTGGTAGTAGTAGTTGTAGTCGTCGTCGTCGTCGTAGTAGTAGTAGTGGTACAGTAGTGCAACCCAGTGGTACAAACCTTCAGCTTAACGCAAAACCTATCGTTTTTTTCTACTTTTTTGCGCTCCGAAGTCATTTCCTCAATGAGAACCATGTTGGTAGTAGTCGTCGTCGTCGTCGTAGTAGTGGTAGTAGTACTGCCTCTTGCTCCTTCTTTCCTTTTCCTCTGGTTCTTCATTTTCCCTTTCCTTATTCTCTAGTAGTAGTAGTAGCAGCAGTAGCAGATTGGTAGGGCTAGTAGTAGGAGTGTGGTAGTAGTCGCAGGACTAGTACTAGCCTCTTGCTGTGTCTTTCCTTTTCCTCTTGGTCTTCCTTTTCCTCTTGTTCTTCATTTTCCTTTTCCTTATTCTCTTGTAGTAGTATTAGTAGTAGTAGTAGTAGCAGTTGTAATAGCAGTAGCAGTAGAGCTAGTAGGAGGAGTAGTAGTGGTAGTAGTCGTAGCTCTCGTGGAAGTAGTAGTTAGTAGTAGTAAAATAATAATGGGCCTCTTGCTCTTCTTTTTCCTTTGGTTTATCTTTATGTCTTTTTTCCCCTTCCTCTTCCTTTTCCTCTTCTTTGTTGTTTTCCGCTTCCTTTTCCGCTAGCTCTTCCTTTTCCATTCCCTCTTGCTCTTCCTCGTCCTGTTCCCCTTGCCCTTCCTCAAAACCTATCGTTTTTCAGCGTTTTACCTTGAATTGATCGTATTCCTCTTCTGAGAGGCATGAATGCACTGTCAATAGCAAGGAAATAGCCGTTCTTGCAGCGTTCGTACCTTCCTGACAGTTTTCCTCTTCCTCTT